GTACTGTACTACTCTTTAAGTAAGTCACTGTTATGTATGAGTTAAATTTAAATTCTATGATAAATCATTGCATACGAAAAATGATTCAGAGCGTAAACGTCGTCAGCCTATATATTTTATACTAATTTTATATTTTTATGATACATTTATATTGCTATTAAAACAATTTATTTTACACTCGTAAATGTTATTGTGTGTATAAAATGTAATAAATAATTATATACTTTGAAAGTTTCAAGTACCCATGAAAAATATTTTTAAATTACAACAAAATAACTAAAATGATATTCATTGTTTAAGTACCTAATTTTGTTCAAACTTAAAATGTCCATAAAATACCATGTACATAGAAATTTATGTAAAAATATTTTTGTCTATTATATGAATTATTTATGAGAAACCTTGTTTTAAATTTTGAATTCTTACCGATGAAAATGTAATTTTTTATATATTTAAAAAAAAAGTATAGTTGCAATCTATACTTACATTATTGTTGAGTACAGTAGGACATTTTTTTATAAGGTCTAAAAACAAGAAATTACAGGTAGGGGAGGTACTTAGTACTCGGTATTCTGTAGTACTACCCAACAATACTTTTTAACTATACAATTATTTGCAAATTATTATGATTTTGTTAAAAATTAACTTCAAAAGCTTATAAAAAAAAACCATGCCTTTGCATCTCTAATATTTATAAATTATTTACATTAATATAAATGTAAACTTCATATACAAATATTTATGGATTTACGCTCAACTTTTTTTTAAATATCAACAATAACAACTTATAAATAATTTAATACATTACAGTTTTAAACCTTCGGCTTATAAATATTTAAAAAAAAAAATTAGAATTTTTATCTACCTAGGTACAAAATGATTTACAAATTTTCGTGGTTTCGACAATTTTTGTCAAAATTCTAACTATTACCTACCGCTTATAAAATAATATCGAGACTATGTAATTTTAATATTTTTCAATGGTAAATAAACCATACATGATAAACTTTGTACTTAATTGTCATTACTAAAGCTTTTTAATCTAGCGAAAAAACTTTGAATTGGCATTTATGAAAAAGAACTGAGACAAAATATTTAAAAAAATGTAATCATGGATAGAAAATGTTAATATAAATATTTGGTGAATATTAGATTATTCATTTTTGAGTTACACCAAAAACAAAATAAATTTTTCAAACTGGTATTACATAAAAAACCCTGTTTTTCTTAATTTGTTTTATATGTGTCCCGGTTATTTTAAAAAATTATTGGATTAGAAAGCAGAACATGGATAACTAATATAATATATGGATAGAAATCTCTATGAAACGTGTTTATAAAAATTAATTTTGCCATTTGCATTTTAAGGGTTATCTTGCTTTATAGACGTAAGAAATATATTAAATAATACATGATAAATAACACAAACATGTGTTTTACTAGGTATCGGTTTATTAATTGGTCTTATTGCGGCGCAAAATGCGCAATCAGCTGTATTCTATTGCAAATATCTTATGGAATTTTGTCGTATCTCGAATAAGTATTGTTATAGGGTATAGTTTAGTTATGACCGGCCGCGGAGTGAAGGACATATGGTTAGATACTAGATATAGGTAGTAAACAGAGTCGAATTACAATAACACTGATATAATATAATGCGATACTGTTTTGCATATAATATTAATATAATCTACGATATAACTAAGAATACTATAGCATAATTATTCTTATGTTTTAAGGAAACGTGGATCGGGTGGATGAGATAGTTCATAACGTGAGGCCTCCCTGGATGTTTGCAACTAGAGCAGGGGTCGGGAACCTGCGGCTATTTGGAAAATTCCCACTAATATTAAGTAGATACGTTGTTTTGTGTGTTATTGTACTTAGTTAAATAATATTATATTTATGTAAACAATAATAATAATAATAATAATAATAATAATAATAATGAATTAATGAAATAAAGTTTTTCTATATTTTCTAAATTTAAGACGTATCATTATGTTTTTAATGCCTACCAATTTTTCAATGAAATAATAATACTATCTTTATTCTAATATTCTACAATATATTGTCTATACTAACAATTACAACTAAAAAAAAGGTTGTTCAAACCTGTGCGGCTCGGCTCCCTGGACATCATGATTTTGTATAAAAATATAGAATAAATTAAAAATGCCCATAATTCACTTAAAAACTGAACTATCTCTAAAAACCCTACACACAGATAATGTTCTTACCTTCGAGTTTCACAATAGGCGATTCACTCTAATTTTTAACCTAACGAAGCTAAACGTTAAGGTCATTCCGTCAAATATAGAAATGATTCACAGCTCATATTCATATAACACGTTGAGCGCAAACGTGCACAAATTAGATAACCAAATGATTTCCTTAGAAAATAATTAGGTACAGAGAGATTTACCAAGCATGATACTCACCCCCATTTTTTCCTTTAATAATGAATTTATTCAAATTCTGATTTTTGGAATTTTGAAATATACTTAAAGATCGTATTTTCTAATTCTTACATTCTTTTGTACTACTTGAGAAGTGTTCTATGAGTAGTACGAACTTATGTTTTTTCAAATGAGAATCCTCAATCTTTTACTGTAAATTAATAAATGGATAATTTTTTTGAAAATGTTGATGTACCTACCACATTCAAAATTCAAATGAGTAGCTTAAAAAGTAGTTATTAAAGTGTTTGTAATAAGAATAATAGTCCTTAATACTGGTCTTGCACAGGGCCGTATTTACAATTTTTGCGCCCTGGGTCAACCATAATTTTACGCCTCTCCCCACTAAAAAAATAGATCCACTTTTTGATTTTTCTGAACACATTTTCAGTGATAATTCTTTATGGTTAAGTCATGGTTGTCTATCTACAACCATGGTTATGTTAAAATAATAATAATTATTCTCTAGGAGAATCTAAGAATGGATAGGCCATTTGAGCTTATCATACGGGAATGAATAAAAAAATATTTTGAGGTTATAGCGGTCTTAACACAAATAGATAACAGGATTAAGATATAATAATATTATTTATTTCACTTTTTTATTATTTGCCAACGAGCCGTGTCAACATTTGCATTTTATGTAATAAGAAAATATATATTTATTGTATTTATGTTTTTATTATAATTTATAATTTCCAATATCTATTATCTATGCGTCCAGCAATGATAATAATCACAAAATATAATTTATGATAAGACCTCTGCTAGAATAAGAGGCATTGATAAAATGTGTCTTTCTCTCTTCCCCATTCCGGCACACGTCCCTCCATTTGGTTAATATAGCAATGGCCTATCTATGGTTGACGAACTGTCACCAGGCAGTGGAGGGGGGAGCTTGCCGGATACTTTATCTCCACCACACCTGTGTGAATATAGATTGGCGGCCTAAAATATAATTGCAATGCTAAACGCATGCTTGTTGTAGTTGTGAAAAACCCTCATTGTATCATTATTACGTAATTTATTAGAGTCTAGGGTTAATTTTATTGAATACAATATACAGTTAAATCCTATAATGCTAAATTATTTAGCAACACAGATACAGAAATTAATTGGAAGTATATGGGTTGATGAAAAGATTCCTAAAGACTGGAACACAGCAATTATCTGTCCAATCTTTAAAAAGAGAGACCCATCTAAAATTGAAAATTACCGACGTATCTCAGTCTCACTATTAGACTAAAGTCACAAGATGCTATTCCTTGCCGTGCTAAAACGATTAGAAATATACGATAAATATATAATTGGAAAATTCAAAATACCAGTGTGGATTCAAAAGAGCGAAGTCAACAACAGACCAGACTTTCACTATCCACCAAATAATGGAGAAGTACTACGAATAATTTAAAGACCGGTTCATGTTTTTGTAGATTTCAAACGAGCCTACGATAGTATCAATAGAAAACAACTATGGACAGCGCTGAGGAACTTTGAAATCCCAGAAAAGCTAGCCAGGATGATAGAAATATGCAATTCGAACACATACTGTAAAGTAAGAAACCAAGGGGAGTTGTCACTACAATTTGAAGTTTAATCTGGATTAAAGTAGGACTATGTTGTATTGCTTAATCTGGAACTTGTAAAAGTTATTAGAGATACATCAGTATGCCAACAAATGGAGCCTCACGGAAAAAATGTAATGCTAGCGTACGCTGACGATATTGTAATATTATGAGATACAGAACACAGCGCTGTTAAGGCCACAGAGAAATTAATAGAGTCCAGTCACAGAATAAACCTTACTATGAATGAGGAAAAAACCAAGTACCTAATAATGACTTGACATTCAGTCAATAAAACATTACTAAAAGTGGGTCCTTACTCTTTTGAACAAGTGGATGAATTTTAATACTTCGGAGTCGACATAAATCCAAACAATAAAATGCATAATGAGATTTGATTGAGAATAAATAGTGCAAATAAAGCATATTTTACCATGAATAAGATCCTCAGCTCTAGACTACTGTAGAAAGGTACGTAAAGAAACTGTTTACTTTTTTTTTTACGCCCGATAGTAATGTACTTACATGTACGTATGTGAAACATGGTGTACAGCATAAGGAGACGAAGAAAAACTACTCACTTCTGAAAGTAAAATTCTACGGAAAATCCACGGACCTGTTCGACTTAAAAATGGTGAATATGAGAGAAGAAAACATGAAGATTTGGAAATGTTATTTAACAATGCAAAATATATTGGATTATTCCTATAGGTAAAACGCTTTGAGTAGGCTGGTCAAGTTTGGCGAGCTGTCAAGTCTTACAAGAAACATCTTAACCAAAAAGTCCTAAAAAAGTGACCAAGAGGAAGATCTCGCTATAGATTATTAGACAGGGCGAAGAAAGATATTTTAGAAGCCGACAACCCAAAACGATTGGATGAAGCGATGGATCGAAATGGAAGGAGAAACTTGGGGAAGCATGCAAGGGGCCTAAATGGCCTGTATAGCATTACAAAATATATATATATATAAACTTATGGACTATTTTGTGGATACATATTTAAATAATGATGCTTGCATGTTCGACCGGAAAATATGGAATCACTTCAACACTGATAAGACACGGACAACTAACCACTTAGAAGGTTGGCATGCAGCTTTAAACCGATCTATTAGTCGACCAAAGCCAAATATATTTTTGTTGATAAACGAGATAAAAAATCAACTTGAAGAAAGATTAACAAATACAAAGGATAGGTAAATAGGATAGGTAAATATTATAAAATGGTTAATTTTTACACCTAGGATTTTTAATAAGTAAGTTATTTTGTACTTTATTTTAGATTGGAATCAAAAGAAATTTCATTATTGGACTACATAGATATAATAAAATATCATATATACATACAATGATTTTTGTTTATAATTTTTTAATTTATATTGATTTTTTATTTACAAGAACTTTAATTTATATTGACTTTTATTATAATATAAATTTATATAATATTTGTATTCGGCAAATTGGGAACATGTAAAAAATAGTCGGCGAAGTGGGATGACACGATTTTAACACCAACGCTACCACCACCGCTGCAGTGTGTGGGGACCTTAATCCGTGGCTTCATTTACCACTTTTCTGGAATTCGCAAAAAGCAAAATTTTTATTTCTGTACAGCTCTACGCTCTTATGGCGTACCTATTTTAAACATTATCCTGGTAACTTATATACTTCGACTTGATTCTTGTTAACCTTCTTTGAAAAATTAACTACTGTACAGTATCATAAACTGAATTTGGTCTTAAACAACTGTTGCGCATTTGTGATAGGAATTTATGTTTTATTATTAACAAGCCCTCCAAACAAGTAAAGTACCCTATTAAGTAAGTAACCTATAGGTATAGGGCATAAGAGGACGTCATACCAGCATAATATGTTGTATCCGTCTTACAAGTGAGTAACATAACAAATTTTACACTCGGCAGACAACGTTTAGCTCCGTTAGTTTAAAAATTAGAGTGAATTAGAGTGAATCTCTTATAAAATCTAAAGGTAAATTATTAATTAGACAACCTCAAGAGCTTTATATAATATTTTAATTTTGAACTGAGTTATAAGTATTTTAAGATGTACATACAATTTACAATTTTAATCGCTCGGACAATTAATAAATCGAAAACATCTCTAGAATTCTAATGTAAAACTTCCTTGGATAGGTATCAAGATAACAAATACTTTAAATGGCAATAACAATATAACTAGCCACGAATTTCTGGGTCTAGGACATCTCGCCACCAACCGTTCTCGCCGCCACCGATTCGCCGACGGACGTTTTGCCGCCACCGACATTTCTCGAGTTAAATATACCACCACAACTTGTACCAGAATATACCAGAGATCCAGCAGTGACACGACCAATAAGAAATAATTTACAATGATGCCTTGTTAGCGGCAGTCGTCGCTACGCTCCTCGGCGCCGTCGCTCCGCTCCGCAAATCGAAAATATCCCTCGACTTGCTATGCAACACCACCTAAAGTTAGTCACAGTATAACCGCTGTTATACCATAGTACAATAACCACTCTTATCATTCAAAAGCTTATCACTACCAAAACGGTGGCGGCAAGATGTCCGTCGGCGAAACGGTGGCGGCGAGTCGGGTGGCGGCAAGAACGCTTGGCGGCGAGAAGAGTAGGTTCGCAAATTTCTGATTTCACAATCGTTTGTTTAACCAACTATAATAAATAAATACGATGTATAAAGTAATTTTACTGTATCGTTTAATAGTTTATTTGATTCGATTCACATCACCCCGTTTAGTATATACTTACAGGCATATTTTAATTTATAAACCTGCCTGCACTTGGCGTCCCCCAGGGAAGTATTCTAGCACCTACTCTTTACAATATATTTACCTCCGACATTCCTCACTTCGAGAACACCACTCTTGCTACTTTCGCAGATGACACAGGCATAATATCAACTAATGTTGACCTAACCATAGCATCTGATAATCTTCAATCCCATCTCAACGAACTACAAAACTGGTTCAACTTGTGGTGAATCAAAATAAATCCAAATAAATCTACCCACATAACCTTTACTCTACGTCCAAACCATAGCCCCCCCATGACTATCAACAACGACACGATTCCCAAAGCACAAGCCACCCGTTACCTAGGAGTCCACCTCGACGGTAAACTCACTTGGGCAGTTCACATAAAAGAAAAAAGGAAATCACTCAACTTTAAACTCCACAAAATGAAACACCTTCTTAGATCTAATCTCCCACTCAACACAAAACTCCTAATCTATAAACAAATTCTCCGCCCTTCAATGACTTACGGAATACAGCTATGGGGCACCTCCAAAAAATCCAACATTCAAAAATTCCAATCCTTCCAATCAATTTGTCTTCGTCTCCTCACAAACGCACCCTGGTACGTCAGCAACCTATCACTCCACTCTGACCTTAATATCCCATACATAAGCACCCTAGCCTCCCATTACTATAAATTATTTCACAATAACACAGTAAACCACCCTAATCCACTCATTTCCAATCTCTCATCCGTCACTCTCCCAGATAACCCTCCACGTCGCCTAAAGCGAAATTGGCCCAGGGACCTCCTCAACCAATAAAAAAATAAAAATAAAAATAAAAAATAAAAATAAAAATAAAAATAAAAACATAAACAAAAGTCTAGAATTGAAGTAGTGTTGCTTGGACACTCCCTTCCATCAAGCCGTCCAGTTTTGTATATATAATAAATCAACCATATTACTCATTGTATAGTTAATACAGATTGTATATATTCTCTTTTAATAAAAAAAAAAAAAAAAAAAAAAAACCTGCCTGCACTTATATTATGCACTGAATAACATAAAGCTGCACGAAACTTGGCGAAACTTGGGCATCTTTAAATATATTATACTTGTATAAACATGTTAATATTAACTGTAGAATATCTAAAATATAAAAAAAGTTTCAATAATAATAGACAAATTACAGTTAAAATTTTTAAAAATTACGAAGGCAAATCGTAAAATGTATTTACGAAAAACACAAACTATTTATAGGAGAGTGGTGACATTCGTCATTTCTTTGTTTAGAGGTTAGAACAAAAATTACAATAATGACCATAATTTAGATGAAGGTATCTTTTTTATTAATACTGGACAGTGCATGCGCCGAAACTGGATGTACAGCCACAAGCCCACAACTAACTATTGAGTATTTACAAAAAAAAGATATTAATAAATAATAATACATAGGTCTCCGTTATCGCAGCGCGGTCGGCCCGTCGGTCGACACTTGCCGATAACATAAAGATATAATGGTAATAATTAATAATAATCACTATATATAAACATAATATAAATGTATTTATTGTATGATATATAATAATAATTTCAGTAAAAAAACAAAAACATTTGCTTACATTTTTTATTCCGGTATTGATACTTACATAATATAATGTTAATTCATAGGACATTGTGTTTTCTTAATTTTTCATGGGCAGACACAGTGTAATTTACAACTTTAGTGTTGGAAACATCGTCGTTTGAATTATGCGTTGACTTAGCTCGAGTAACCAACTGAGAAAATAAATCATGTAATGTTGAGCACCTTTTTGTTGAAACCAACAATAACTTTTTGTTTTTTTTTCTATTTTTTCATTCATTTTGAAGGTCCCCACACACTGTAGCGGTAGCGTTAAAATGAGTCGGGACACAATTTACCGCCACCGCCAAGACAAAAGAATTTTATCGCCACAGCTGCAGTGTGTGGACTGTGGACCTTTATTTATTGAAGCCAAATTATGATACATTTAATATTTATACATACAACTATAATATAATTTAATATATACATTAAAATAAAAAATTAAAACACGAGACTAATTTATTTGCCAAATGCTAATATTATGATTAATAACAAGAAAGTTATTAAACGTTTCATAATATTGTCTTTTGCTCTTGATCGCTACAAGGTGGATTTCAAATTGCCAAATTACAAGACGCGTTTCTATCACTTGTAACATTATTATGACTTTGTAGAATTGATTAAATATACAATGTATATTTAATCAATGATTGTAATACCTATGTACGCGGAAAAACACGATTATATTATTATCATTACGAGTAGTAATTACTAATTTATTATTAGGACTGATGTCTAGTGTCTACGGCTAACCGCAGACCAGTCGGCCACTCGTCGGTCTCGTCGTTATCTATAAAATCCCAACATTTCCAAACATACGGTCTATTTTTAAACTTTATTATTATAATAATCAAATGCAAACGAATAAACGATACACCATGAGTCTATGATGTCGGTTTGTCGACTGTAGAGTGTATAGATCTTTGAATGTACACATCGCATCGCAGAAACGCAAAACGGAAAACGCTTCGAATGTGACATTACCTAGGCTGGTCGTCGGAGCATTACCCGGCGTTTTCCGCAGCGTTTTGTACGCGTTACGATTAATAATAATTGATAGCCCTCATCACTCGTCAATCTTCATAATATTGTCATTTATTTTAGTTTATAGTTATACATTTTTTTCGTACTTGGCACAATATTATGGTGTATTTGTATATACTTTATTCAAATACGAACAACCAAACAGCTCAATAGTGTCTTACCGGTAATTTTCCGGGCTTTCCGATGGCCCAGTCCGCCACTGAATTATCCGCATTGGTTTTTTACTGCATCAGCTATAGGGGCGTATCCGTTGACTTATTCCACCGCTTAAATTATATACAATAAATTATGGACTACGGTGTTAACGCGGGAGTTTTCCGTCACCGGTATGCCCAGCCCAATTTAAAAAACGTGTTAATTTTAAGTTTTGCTAAATTTCGCTCATCTTTTACATTTTTTTTTTCGGCGTTTTTCGGATATAAACGTGGTGAACTGGCGAATCACCATACATCGTGTATAGCTATTCAAATAATTTAAAAAACAATTAATATTGAATCCAACGAAAATGGTGCGGAATACTCGTGCTTTCCGTACGCATTAGAAAACGCCGTCATCTTGTGTAGCCGGTCGAGTAAGAAATTAACTAATATATTACAAAGATCCACCTTTATTTAGTTTAATTTTTAAATGTATAAGATATGGGGGCTCGGTTTTTTTTCCGTTCGAATATAGCCTATATTTTGTTATTCCATTGGTATGGCGGTATACTCCACTATTCAAATATTAAAAGCAACAATACAAAATTCAAAAGGCGGGCAAGTAGGTAATGCTATAGACTTTAGTTGTCGTCTGTCGAGTGAACCGACGGCATTGAGTATAATAGGTCACTGCAGTAATGGATGTGTTAAATTCGAATTCAATACGATAGGTAAATCAATGAATACGAATAATGAATCTGTTTGGCGACAGACCGTTGGCCTTTATTACTACGGCGCGACAAGGACGGGAGCCGGGAAGTGAGCTATTTCAGTCGCGGGCTACGTTCGCACCAACAACGCTGAAACATTGCTTTCCCAAACGAGCCGCACATAAAGGTACTATTATAATTATTTGTCACGCTTCTGCACCTCAGAAAACGCCTCTATCGGGCTCTATCGACGTTAACTCATTGTCCTACGAGAATCCGACAAATTCGACGAAAAATAAAACAGTTAGTATTTCGTAAAATCGTACAATTCGGATTGACATGGTCGGAATAGAAATCGTCGGACTTAATACCGGATTTACGTAGGGTGTAATGTAAATATTGTTCTTTATTTTCTTAGCATATAGATTCACCAAACTGTTTTGACGTTTTGTACATAACGACTCAAGAGTCAAGAGTATCATCTACTAAGTAGTAATCCACCTACCGACTAGGATATTGATATATTATTATTATTATGGACAAAACTTATCGGATACGCTCGTGTATTGATCGGATTTGAACATTAACTTTACCGACGGCTGCGTAGCGGGAGATTTCCATTTTACCGCCTGTCGAGAAAAAAACACTTAAGTACTGTCCACTAGACGGAAAGCGCTTCAACCGAAAAATTAAGTGTTATGACAAAATGTATATTTTATTATTATATTATAATAATTATGTTTGTTTGCTATTATAGTCATTTATTCTATGCTATTGGTTCTTTACGGTGTGTTGAATTAATTTTTGCCAAAAATATCGCATTTATTGTTATTAATTGTTATGATGGTATATATTTGTTATATAATATTTACATCATATATTATTATTTATTGCTATTAACAATTGAATCAATACCGACTAACCGTAGAACGAAATTAATAGGTTAGTTGATTAAATATAATAGACAATAGCTTAAAATGAAACTATACATTTTAAAAATGTCATTGCGAGTAGTAATTTTAATATTATACGTAAAAGTTTCAAGTACCCACAAACTAAAAACACTATTTTTGAAATATACCAAAATAACTAATAGGTATCGTTATTCTTCTGATAAAATTCGATTTAGTATTTAATTAAAATAGTATCATACATTATTTATATCATAAACATTATTATTGCCTATTCAATGTCGAGTTAAATACCAACTTACCGAAGAAATTAATAACGTTAAGTCCATGGTATAAATTAAAAATAAGCAATAGCTGAAGAAGACGACGGATTTATTATCTCCGTCTAACACCAACACTCTTACTAACGCATAATATTATATCAAAATTACGTCCTACAGTTCCAATTTCGTGTTGTTGGCTTAAATATTGGAGTGACCTATCATTAAACATAAATGTAAGAACATTGAGTGAATTTTAAACATTTTTAAATATTAATATTTCGCATGGAGCTGGACGTACATTTTGGTAATTACATGCGTTGGCAAGACCGAGCAACACATAAATAGGAAATTTCATTGTGTCTGTGGACATAGTAGATGTTTCAAGTCCTCTTGAATATTATTTTCGAATTACTACAAAATAACACATCATTATTCTTCGTTTGAATTTCTATTTCGTGCTAATCTGAATTTCAAACTTCAAAAAAAAAAGTTTACGTATATGTATTTAAAATAATTTTTAAATTGCTAAAACAACTAAAATAATATGTGGGATCTTGTATTAAATTTACATTTTAAAACCAATACATTCGTAATTTAGATGGTTTGTCGTCGATTTCTGTCTAAATTTCTGAACGCATACTCGCGATGCTGTACGTTTGTAAAACGGAGACAAATAACACATGCAGGTGTGCCAGCCTCTTAATTTATTTTGAACCTTGTAAAAACATTTTAGTTAATTAAAATATTTTTTAATTATAAATTTGTATAATTTGTTTATACAATTTGAAAAATTGTCTGTTCAAGTATAAATTAATACATACTAATTAGTAATTAATTTGAAATAAAGCCCTAGAGACTAGAGCATTAGAATAGACGGCCAAGTTAATACTAAAGGTAAGCAGGTACTATATAAGTAGTTGTGCCTTTATTATATAATGCAATTAATATTCACTTCTTTCATTGTTAGGCATAGACATATATGAACATGAATAATTTAAAAACAATTATGATTCTAAAAATACTAACAATTAATACCTAATAAATTATACATTATGTCAGGTTAATACTTGAGCATTTTAAAGGTACAATATTACACTCATTAATCTATATTTATTCGTACCCGAGAGTAGTAAAAATATACAATTAACAATGATTAATTAGTGGATTAATTAAAAATAAAACTATTTATTCATAGAGCTGTAAAGTTTGTCACAAAACCACAATTCCGTCATTAAAATAATTGATTTTTTCTTACATAATATCTCATACTGACATAAAAAAATGTACAATAAACTAAAAAGAAATAATTGTAGTGCAATTTGTACTTGATAAACATAATTTTACATTATATTATATTATCATTGTGAACGACTTAGCGGCGGTTGCCGAGTGCCAAACTTTGATTGATATACATGGTAACGCAGATATCTATATTTATTTATAAATACTAAAATATCAAGATCATTTGCAAAATACTAGAAAGTAATTACTAAAAAGTATTTAGCCATGGCCAAGACTAGATATAGACTAGGTATCTGTCGTTGATTATTCCTAAAACAAATAATAAATATGGTTTATCATTTCAAAATCACTGTCGGAAACTCGGAAAACCGATCTATCATGATATTATTACCATTCGTAGCGAATAGTAACTATTATCACACTGATAATAATAATAGTAATAATAATAATAAGTATTAAGTAACAATACTTCCAAGGACGAAATAAATAAATGAAACTACTACAGCAATAGTTAATCGTTTAATGTTTTGGACGTAAGACGAAAAAAACAGTTCCTAACTTTCCAACGTAACGTATCCACTACAGTACTACACATTGTACGGTGGACCGATGAAAAGGAGCGTTATTTTAATGTTGTACGACGTTATAACGAAACAGCAGGTCACGGGAAAAAAGGATAAAAGGGGAAAAATATAATGACAATATTTCAATGATCAATCCCGGAGCGTTATTTACAATACGTCATGGTGTTTTGCCTTTTGGTGTAATCGACGACGGACGAAATAAATGAAAATTATATAAAAGTAATAATAATAAATGGTCAATTGGGATATTAGCCATCGGAGAAAACAATATTATTTTATTGTCACGAGTCTATTAAAAATAATAATGGCCAATAACGATGTCGCATACGAGTGTACGACCGGTGCGTGCGGTGTGGTGCGATGCGCGACGGTGCGGTACGGTAGCGGGTGTCTGAGGTTATTTGCGTCGACTTTAGTAGTTTAATAAGGCAGAAGCGCGGGGAACGGGCGTCGACTGTCGAGCGGAGCAGGGAATCAGTGGAGTAGTGGACGACGGGTGTTGTTCGTCGCGGTGAGTAGCGTATAGCGCGGGGATTGCGGCGGTGACCGTCGAGCGGTGGCGACGGCGTTCGGAATGTTCGGATCGATAGCAATGGTTGCCACTGCTCCGTTGCTGCGGGCAGCAGAGCGAGTGAGCTAGCGAGGCGCAATAGAGAACCAAAATAATAATATTATAGCGCTCGCCACCCGAATCGACCTCGCACGCGTTCGCAGAACACGAATATCGAACATAGACGAGTCGGAGCTAGCGAACGTTCGCTGTATCCGACTATATAGTCGCTGAGCAATATCCCACACCTGTGATTGGCGCCGTCGCATGCGCTCACGGCGGCCCGGTGCGCGCGCCGCCCGAAAGAGAACACAACACATGATGTAGCGACAAACTCGCGGCGGCGCACGGAACTATGCGTGCTCAAATGCTCAATACTGTTCGGAGGTGTTGGACAGGCGGGTGGACTGCCCAACGGTGGTACACCATACAAACTGTTTTTGGCGGTAGGTGTGGGTGGGCGGGAGGGTCGGCGGCGGACTGTTCGGATGGTCGCGCTATAGGCGGTGGCCGGTAGTTCGAGTGTTCGACACTCGTGACCCGAGCAGTCATGACTCATGAGCACTGAGCAGTGAGCAATGAGCATAGAGCACTCAATATTCGACACGGGCAGCGCTTCATTTCGTCTGTCTGACCGGCACAGCGTTGCTGTTTCACCACCTTCGGTACACTTCGTGCACTGCCGTCGTCTCACGACTCACTCCGTCGATCAGCATTCCGCCAGGCCGCCGCCGTTCTTCTTCGTCCGTTGCTCCGTACACTCGTTCTCGTCGTACCGTGTTCGCTTCGGTGTTTGATCACTTTGATCCATTTCAGTTGACTTCCCGTTTGCGGTTTCATCGTGTTCGGTCTCGCGCCTGCGCGCCGGTCCGCGTGTATCGATTGTCGTTTTTCGGTGTTTTCGGCCAGATATCTTTTCTCGTATCACACGCTCGCCATCGTTAACAATTTATTATTATTTTCATAAACTTTCAAGTGGATTGTTGTTGTTATTATTGTCGTTGATAATAAAATATTATTAATTAAACGGATAACGATAATATAATTTTATGAAATGTTGTATTAATTTATATTGTGAGCTTTGTACTATCCGATCGATTCATCTTTCGTTGTTTGTTAAATAATTGGTCATATCGTCGGCATGTCTTTCGTGTGTGCCTGAACAGCTGCAGCAGCAGCAGCAGCAGCAGCACACGGAACCTGACTTAGTAAATTAAGTAAATATTACGATAAAAGTAAATACCGCCCGAACAGTATCTCTAAGTACGGTGTCCGGACTGGGCAGTGTTGCAACAAGATCGTAAATCGAAACAATAATACTTCATGCGGGTCAGACGTCTCTTATTGCATTAATTTTCGTCTTCTGTTCGACATTTTAAAATCACCAAATTATTGATTTTAGATTTGTATAAGAATCTAGGTGCCATAGAGACACAGAGTAGGTATAGACAGATCTTTTTGATATTTTGACTCATTGATATGATACTGTGGTAAAGAGATAGATATCTATGCAACGGATATCATATCAGATGAGTACCTTCCAAAAATTTTATTTCTTGATTTCTCGTCATTTCTTTTTTTAATATTCCTACTAGGTATAGGTATAAAATGTATTTTTGAATCATATTAATGTTATGCCTGTTGTGTTTCAAAGGTTTGTGTTATCGTGTTTGTTGCTTTACTATTGGTAAAATCATAATGCGTTGATGACACTGCTCTAGAACTGCCCCTGTCAGATGTTTGTAGCATACGCTAAGTAAGCAAAGCAGCCTGCCTATATCCCTAGTGATTCTGGATTGTTGGTCTGTTACCACAGTGGTTTTAACAGTGTGCTTACTGTCTGATTCAGACGGATCTAGATTATATCACGTCTGAGGAGCTTACTGTTATGTGATTTTTGCATTTATTATTTATCCATTCTGAGCACTGGCATTTTCTTCATAATATTGAATTCTACACTAAAATAGAATATCGGAGACCAAAAAGTCTAATCTTTTATAAATCAAATTAATTAATTAATTTTGTTTTTAAAGGAATATTCAATAATAAAACGTAAATGGTCAATACAAGAGCGTGTACCATGGATTCCGATAAAGGGAAGATAAGTCAGAGGAAAAATCCAAATAGAAGTAGAGCAAACAACTCTGGTTAGTGCTGGAATTTAAATTTTGTCATTCATTTATTAAATTTAAGTTTAATATGAAGCTATTAAATACCTACCTAGTTGTAAAACTAAAACTGTAAACACAATATTTTAGTATGGTTTAAAAAAAAATTGCATGCCAAGTCTAAATTATAATGTGGGTAGGTATGGGTAGTTAGGATCAGTTTTTAGTTTGAATAAGGAATGCTTGATATTATAATACTTGTTATAATGTATAATTTCCTATCTACAGGGTTTTGAATTTAAATAATTTTAATCGCTTCATATCAATGTTACACTGATGTCTGATGTAATGTAATACTAAAAACTAGATATACGTATTAAGAGGACATCATAGTTTCTTAAAGATCATATTAACTTATTCAAAAATAATAATTTCAATAAAAGTCTATGTGGGGCCCTAGATAATTATCTTATCTTTAAATGTTATAATGGGTCATTTCACTCATTTCAAAACTAATACTGCTCTATTGAAACTGGTGATCAAAAATTTTCTGTACTTGTAAGATGGAGACAACGCATGTGGGTACGATGTCCTTTTAAGTTGTTTGTCAAACAATGTAGGTAATAGTGTTATACAAGGTGTCTATACATTTATATTTGAAAAGTTAGTTCACTGTCAATTCAAAAAAAGTGTAGCTACCTGTGTAGCCAGGATTATGAAGTAGGGGAGGAGTTTTTGTATATAAATAATAATTTATATAGTTAATACATTAATTAGGGAGGGGGAGGGGGGTTGAAACACCTAAATATCCCGTGGCTATGACACTGACTAATTGTGTTTTTAGTTGAGCTTGTTGTGGTTATTCTTTGCCATGTCTTAACTTGCCCCTAACTTTGGTTGAAAATACCAATTTTTGCAATTTAAAGTGCTATGAAATCCCAACCCTGAATTAATAATATATGATATACCTGTTACCAAATTATATTTACATTAAAAGTTTTTTTATTTATTTGGTTTCTCTTTAGTCTCTGTAGTATTTAAATTTTAATCTATATCATATGGAGGCCACTGCCAAAGGAAAGACATTTGGGTTTCCCTAGTATATTGATTTTGTATGTTTGGTTCCTTAGTATTTTAAATCATTAGTTTTCCTCATAAGAAAGTGATTTAAAGTTTGTAAATCAAATATAAATTCAATGTATTCAAATTATTGCATTATTTCTAGGTCGAGTTAGGTGGTTATTTTTGTAGTTATTTAAGTTATTTTATTCTTAATTAGTTAGTGTACAATAATACAAATAGGTACTCCGAGGTTGGGTAAGTTACCCAATTTATTGTAACTAGTTACAAGATACAAGTTACTCTAAAACTGTGTTACTAGTTACAAGATACTAGGTACCTTGATATTGTGTAACTGGATACAAGTTACAGTTGTTATGTAACTAAGTTACATTTAAAGTTAAAAGTTACATAGATAAATAGAATATGCTTGTATTGATTTATTATAATTAACACATAAGTCAATTGTTTAACATAGTAACAGTCCTAAAATCAGTAGTTAGTATAAAATAGGTGCATGCAACATAGAAAGTAAAACATACAATTAAATAAAAAAAATTGAATATTGTATAATTTATTAATAATGGTTATTGTAATGAATATGATTTATTTCCTTTAAGAAAAACTAATTTTTCAAAATTTTGGTCTGATAAATTTGCTCTAGTAGGACAATGAACGAACCCGGCAAATGAAAATAACCTTTCCACTGGAACAGAAGAACAGAGTTTTGTATTAAATTTTACAAATAGTTTTTTTATTGTGACATAATTATTTAAAACTGATAATGACTTATTTTTATCATTAAAAAAATGTATAACTTCCAAATTTGCCTTTGAATCAGCTTTTGTTTGTTCTTGAGATGAAAATACAAAAAAATCATTTTAGTCACCCTCTAGTTAACAGCAAAATCACAAATGACATGAACTCGCAGTAGCTTTGAAGTAAATCATAAGCAAGTACTGGCCTCGTGGCTCGTAATACTCGTTAGTCGTTTAGTTTAATATATTTTCTTCAGAGAGTCCGTTACTCATGAGGTTTGGCGTTTAAAAAAAAAATAATCTGGGAATCCCAATTCCAAAACCAACTCTAATCGGTAATCAATAATATGTCAACACCAGTACATCACCCAATATTATGTTCCAAAACAGCTGATTACAGGCTTGATAAGGCCTGCCTATATTAAATATAATACTTAATATTTATGTATATTATGTACAATGTAACTTTTATATTAAGTTACAGGAAAATGTGTAACTAGTTACAAGTTAAATTGTAAATGAGTAACTTGTTAGTAGTTACAAAAGTAGCTGAATTACGTAACTTTGGTATGCCCTACCTTTAATAGAAATTGTTAATTTTTGATCTTTTATGTTTATCAATTAATGTATGTTTGGATGAGGATTATAGACTTAGAAACTACTGGACCAATTAATACCAAATCGTCTATAGGTTGCCAGTAGTGGTGCGTAAAAAATGTACTTGGAGATATAGGTTTTGTGTTACTATTGGTTATTTATATGCATTTTAACTTAATAGGTATAAGTATTTATTCAATTTTATATCCCGGTTAACTTATCTAAATAATTAAATAACTTCATTATAAGTTATTAATTTAAACTACTGAAAAAATAGTGATATATTCGAGGATATATATTATCATAATTTCTTAATATGTACAATATTACCTCAAATATTACTCAACGAATATGGAACAATCCGCCAGTGGCAGAGACAACTGAGACTAGTCTCACAGACTCCATACAAAAACCAATAACCATTGTTGTTATGATTCCCCCCTTAAATTTTTTTACCTTTTATATTAGAATACAGTCTATCATTTTGTTTTATGAACTGTGTTGTCTGTCGTCTTCGCTAATCCTGAAAATATTTAAAAAAATTATTTTTGCCATTTTATAATTATTGGGGAGACGCCTTCTCAAAGTATCCCCTAATGTATTGCTCCTGCTATATAGGGTGGCTCACAAATTAATTTAGTGTCACTCAAATCAAATACTACTAAAAAGAGAATTGGTACAGACTAGCCATAGACATTATACTCATAGACTGGCCGTACCTATAACAATCACTTTATTATGCTTTGGGAGCTGTGATAGGGGGTGCAGGTGGCAGGCACGATTAAGCAACTGAGTTACCATTGCACAAACTCAATTATTTTCATAATATGTAGTTATAGTCCATGGATGGTGAATCCATGGCACCCAAATGAAACTAAATTATTTTATCATGCAATTTTAACCAATAATCTAAGGATAAAAACATCTATGGCGATTAATGATGTATTATATTTTGTAGTAAAAATATATTTTGCCAACTTAATAAAGTTTTTTATTATTGAAGTAGATTTTTAAAAGTACCCATCCAACCACACATCATGCTAAGTATATATAAGCTTAATGCAATGTTATAATTTTTTAACAGGAAATGAAAAATCAAAAATGAAATCCGACAGTAAATCGTCTTCTATTTGTTCAAATCCAGAGAGTGAAGGTAATTTGATTCAATTTTTATTAGAAACCAATAAAAGTTCTTTACTTAATATTACTTTATTATAAATTTATTTGTGAAGCTTCATAATTGCAATAATATATAAAAATTGTTATTTCTTTATTATTTATTCTGTTCACTATGAATTATGATGACTATCGTTGTTTTTGTTTTATAAAATCATTTAAAAATTACTGGTTAAAACAATAGTAGCGTATTAAACAACTAATTAAAAATATTATTAAAAAAAAAAAATTTATTTATTTGAAATCAGTAATGTTATTAGATTGTGAACTGATTATCAAAAGTAACAATTTTTATTCAACATTTTAGATACAAGTTTTACTAGTAGCAACAGATTTTTCTTAGTCAAAAAGCTTTAAAATGTATTAGGTACAAGTTTTTTATAGTAATTATATGTATACAATGCAAATTAATAATATTTTCAATTTATTAATCTCTGAGAATGAAAGTGTAATATGAGCTTCTTTTTAGTTGTGCTTATATCAATTTAAAATTATCCCAATAAACTTATTCATATTATATTTTTTAGCATTATAAATTTCAAAAAAGTTGGATTCCTTTCAATATTAATGTATTTTTTTTTAAATTGTATTGTTCAGAAGATGATCAAAATGTACCTACAACAGTATTAAATCCACCAGCTGGGTCATCAATCAAAGTGACTTTAAAAAAGACAAGATCATGTAGCAGTAGTTCTTCTAGGGAATCTGCTCAATCATTTGAAGTAAGAAACGTAATAATACATTTTAGTTTTAAATCTATTCAATTAATATGATGACACTTGAGTAATACCCATAAAAGTTGCCTGATTTTTGCCCATCAGCCTTAGTAAAAGCTTATTATTAAATAATATTGGGTACAGGACAATGTGTATATTATGTTCATTTTACTCTTAATAAATACAAGTGTATAATATATATCTTTTTAACTTTGTTAATATTATGGTGATTGAGTAAAATTATTTTAATATATGGGTATAGTAATACATTCATGATATTAAATTCTGAGCGGAATATACTGGTTTAGAACAGGTGCCACCCCTACCCCAAGAAAAAAAATAGTATTTATTACTAATACATTTATTTAATTATAAACAAAGTAGGTCATTAGTAATTATAAACAAATCAAGTTATTACAAATTCTATTAAACAATAATTCATTTTAATCTTAGATATGACTCCAAATCCTCCTTTATTACTTTTTCACTAAGACCTAGAGACTGCCCTCCAGTTTCATTCAATAATAACTTAATTCTAACAACCCCTGTAGTAAAATACCTGGGCCTAACGTTTGATAAGCGACTCACCTACCTGGGCTCAACACCTCAAAAACAAAAGAAAATCTGTAAACTCTAGACTTCACTTGCTCAGTCCACTTCTCCGCTCTAAACTAAACATCAGCAATAAATTGTTAATCTATAAAGCTATTTTAAGACCTGTATGGGCATATGGCATTCAGATATGGGGCTCCGCGAAACCCTCAAACCTGCGAACTATACAAGCCTTCCAATCAATATGTCTCCGTCAAACCATCTCTGCTTCTTGGTATATAAAAAACGCCAATCTTCACAAAGACTTAAACGTTCCCAAACTTTCTCAGCTAACCAAATCCCACTTCCTCTCATTCCATTCTAAGCTAAATCACCATACTAATCCATTAATCAAACGATTCAAACGTATGTCTTGTACAATACTCGATAATCCTAGAAGAAGATTGAAACGATCTTGGCTACCTTCCCACTCTGTTATATTCACCGCTATTTCACTCAACAAAATTATTTATTGTACAAAATTATGTATAGATTGTAATTATTCTTTTAATAAAAAAAAAAATCTTATATGTTATCTATAACATTTTTCTACAAACTTTTTTTGATGCAAAATTGTAGGCTATTTCATCATAATTTAAACTTTGTTTACATCTATTTAATCATTTGTGTACAACGTCTTAAAAAGTTCTTGAGCATTCCTTTATTGCCAGATTTAAAAAAAAGATGATCACACAAATGCAAACATTCATTTGTAAATGATTCTTCAATATCATTAGGATATTGCTTTATTAGTGCCCTAGTTTTTTCAGAAATAGTTTCCTTGTCAAAACTACAAACATTTGTGGGAAAATCAAACTTGACACATAAATCTTTACATGAACTGCTACATCTTACAAGTTCAGCATTCAGTTTATGCTGTGGATACACAATTTCTATAGTTAATATATTATTATTTTGTTTGATATCTAATATGATCTTAATTAATTTTAGTAACAACTCATATGTACCTTGGTAGGTATCTTATCTTTATAGTTAACATTACTAGAAAATTGATTTTGTATCATTGATATTTTCAGTGTAAGCGACGGTATATTTTAAATTACAATTACAAAAGCTTAACATGGTGCAGACCATGGTCTGGTTAACCAATGTGTACAATTCATGAATTTATTACTTTGTTTTTTAAATATATACATTAAATATTAATATAATTTTAATTTACGCAGTTACATAAATGCATAAAATATTTATATGATTTTTCAATTTCTTACAAAATATGCTGCCATAGGCCTGAACCTCACGGACCTAGGCGTAAATCTGGCCTTGGGAATATTTTACAATTATTTATTTTTCTATGTCATCATATTATGAGGCAGTAAAAATGCTTTGGTTTTTAACTTTAGGGTTGGATTCAAGAAGTAAATGATCTAGTTGGTACTTTGGCAGATCTTCAGTACAAATACCCAGTACTTTTGATAAAATGTTTAAATGGGTAAACAAAAAAAAAATAAGGAAAAACGGGAATTTGTATACAGAACCAGATAAATAGATTTGACAAAATTTTGTTTTGTTTTTTTATTGTAACTTAGAAAAATAATATTAATTACTTTTTACTGATTTCTTAAATTAGAAATTTCTGTGGGCGCCTATGCTGATAGCAGTATAAATATATCATAGGCTGACAGACTGTTTCTGCTCAAAATCATTTTTTTTAAATAATGATTTATTGTTTAATTAAAAATTATATATATGTTAATTAATTTCAGGTTGTGAGAAGACTTACAACTACTGCTGAAAGTGTTTCTGGCGAAGAAGATTGTGAAAATCCAAAGGACTCTGGACCGGAAAACTCTTCCGACAAGTCACCTTCTGTTAATGCAGGTGAAAATGAAAATGAAAATGAAAATGAAAATGAAAATGAAAATGAAAATGAAAATGAAAATGAAAAGGAATCTGAAGAAGAGTCTCAGAACGCTGATAGTTCTGATGACAGTGATGTGGAAATATTGTCAGATGATTCTGACGAATCATTTATCGAAAGACCTAGTCCAGCTGTATCAGTTAAAGCTGAGGAGAAAAATGTATCTATTAATACAGTAGTAGATTTGAAAACTGAAGAGCTTCCTCAGAACTCTATGGTGGTTAATAAAGAAGAATGTAAGGTACGAATTAAATCATTGAAAGAAGAACAGTCAAAAGAACCAGACTTGGAAGGTGATGTAGTTATCATAAAAAATGATAATGAAACTAAAAATACTCAAGTACCTCAACCACAAAACGGCGTTGAAAAAAAAGAAGTTAAAGAGCAAGTCAAAGAACAAAAGTTTAAAGTTAATGTCCGTTCTTTTGATGATTTAGTAGATCCTCGTAATGCAATCCTAATTAATATGCCTCCTCCTGCACAAATAGACAGGGCACCCAATTTTTTAACTCAAAATGGTAGTGGACCTTATCCGCCACCATATTTGTCATGTGAAGTCTGTGGAATACAATATGATTCTCCAGAACTATTGAATGATCATAAAATAACCATGAAACATTTCAAATGTTCTTTCAAGGAATGTGAACATTTAGTTGAATCAAGCCAACAAGAATTCCAAGAGCACCAACGTATGGTTCACAATAGTATGCAATCACCAGTTCAACAATTGGCACACCAAGTAATATTAATATATTATACAATTTTGATAATAGGTTACAAAATATATTTTTAATATTAGTTAGTTTTCTATTTACAAAAAATCATTTAAATTATTCTACAGTATAGTATTTACTAAACAAATACTTCTTATAATAATATTGGTAAAATATATTTCTTTATATCAAAGTTTCAGTATCAAGTTGTATTGATTTGTTATAATTAGGTCCAACGTTTACCAGCAATGGGTTTTGATCAACAATTACAGTCCGGTGTACCACCATTACCTGAGAACCTATCTCCTAGTTTGTATACACAATCATTGCGGATGCCAAATCAGGGAGTTCCTATGCAACGTGGCATGCGTCCAATGATGAGGGCCATGCCACATATGATTTCTTCAAGAGGGCGTAATGTACAAAGAGGATCAACTATGAGTGAGTCTCAAAGTGTTATATTATATTATTAACTAATTATAATTTTGTATTACTCATTATTATTGCTTAGGAGGAAGAGCAACTTCTTTAAATTCTTCTCCTAGAGGCAGTTCTTTAAAAAGACCATTAACCGCGCCTAGGAGGGGAACTCCGCCTATGAAACGTACAAACATAGATAGGTTAGTAATGTGTTGTCTTTAGAATATTCCATATAGTATTATTATATTCAAGGTAGATATGTAAAGGTGTCAACACTTCGCTTATAATTGATTGCAATGCATACACCAGTTGTAAATATCACTAGTACTCTTACTATGAAATACTGATTAAGACATTGATGAATTTTTTTATAATAGTTATATTAATTTAATAACAATTAATTTTGAATTAAAAAATTGTCAAAATTCATATTTTTTTCATGAATAGTATTTTGAGTAGGTGTATAACATGATAAATGCAGAGTTGCATGACTACATGATTAATTTAATAAAATACAATTTAATTGGCTAATAATATTATCATTTTTAAGGGACAATTAGTTCACTATTTATTCATTAAACGTTTAGTAATTATTCATGCAGCCCAGTATAAGATTATAAGACTTAGAAAATGATATTTATGTTTGAAATGGAATACTAATTGGAAATGAAACACTACTTTATAAATCTATTTTTAATTTCTTGGTTTCATTTCTTAACCATGTTTTTAATTAAATACAACTACAAGAATAGGTGTTATATTATAATTTAATATAAAGTTGTAGTCATTGACATTTTAAATTTAAATTATATTAATGGCAAATTTTTCCCTTGATTTTCTGTACTAGGGCTAACAAAAGAGTAGTAAAACTGTCTATTTTTATATGTTAGTATAAAAATTACGTAACAAATTGTCTCACTATAAGCTAGGGTTGCCATTTATACAAAAATACAAGTCGGGACACTATAATACCCCCCCCCCCACANATACCTTTTTTAGTCCAACGTTATTTAATATTTTTATTATATTATAATTTATAATAAATAAGAAAGTCTAAAATTAGAAATAGCACAAAATGTAATAATAGTATTATTATTATCTTATTCATAAATATAATTTTAAATTATCTAAAAAAAGGTACACAATTTTTAATTTAAAACAGAGTGGTCTTACTTATTTACTAATATGTGTATTGTTTAAATCTTATTTTAAGAAACCGGTACTTATCCACGTCCCGGCCGGGAAATGAAAAATATCAGGACTCTGTAGTAAAAACTGGTAGTGTCCCGGCGAAATCGGGACGAATGGCAACCCTACTATAAGCAGACATGGGTGACATGATTGTTCTCGCCATAACATGTTATCTAACTATTTGATTTTTACATTAAGAATATCAAAATATATAATAGCAGTATCAAATTTCACTTGATTTTATTGTTCTCTCTTGCAGTCTTATCATTATTTCTAAACTTTTGAAATTAGAAACAATAAAATATCTATTTGTTATAACTCACATATTGATCATGTTGACAACTAAAATGCTAACAACTTTATACTCCATAAACATAATTTTTTAGAAGAACCAAAAACAAATTTTTCCTTCTAAAAATAATTTATGCTGATTAAATAATAGTCATAGCAGTGTAATACGCAAATTTAGCTCTATAGCTTTTAACCTTAATACTTATAATTTCTATTATTACATTTTTTTCTTTTATATTATGGTTGTTTCTTAAAAATATTTTACATTTAATAACTTCAGATATTAAAAATAAACAAATTAATGTAAATAACAACTTATACACTTAACTAACCTAAAATAAGTGTGTGTTTTAAAAAGATTCAATAGTTAACACCTATTTATAAAAAAATTTAAAATTTAAAGTTTAATGTTAAGTATCAATTGATAACAATTATTATCGTATTGAATAGAAAGTTAATGCAATTGTATAATCTAAAATGTAATATAACTAGTAAGTTCAAGCAATTAATAGCAAAGTACTTGCTGTATATTATGATTTCATGGCAAAAATGAAATTTTGGTCGATAATCATTTTTTGATGTATAGAATGATCTGTTATCATTTAACAATGTGACAATAGTAGACCCACTTAAATGCACAATCTTTAATTTTTTTAATCCCGATTGTTTGTGTTTATCGTTAATTAAAATTGAAGTTCAAATAGAAGTATCCACTAATTTAGCTTGTATATCCATTGGTATTATTTAGAAATGGCTGATATGTTCCTATAATGATGCATATGAATAGCTTATTTTAAACCTGTTAACTTAATTGTCGAAAAGCAAATATGGTGTCCAAAAAAAGTGGATACAGCTAAAAGAAACATTTAAATTACATAGCAATGGTTGTAGCTATACTCTGTTCAGTGAAAAAAAGCATGGTGGCCTTACCTAAATCAGTTCTTCAGCACATTTCTATCCGACACCCTGCTATACGGGAACCGATTTCTCTAGCAGGACGTAGGGGATGCACAGAATACAGATTGATGCGTTCTCTAGCTGAACAGAGCATAGAACCACTAGATTGGGCTTATTCAATGTATTTCATTTGCTATGGCGGGTACGGTTGTTTGTATGCAAGGTGTCTATGTATTCATGATGTAATTTTATTTGAAAATAAAATAAATTTTGATTGGTACCTATATATATGAATTATAATTAACACTGTTAATATCTTTACTATTGCAAAGTCAAATTTAAAACATTATCAATTATTCATACATAAATATAATAATATGCTATACAAATCAAAGTCACCTAAGCAGCGCTGCCGGTGGAAGTTGTACAAAAACAGTGGTCTTTTAATTACATTATGGGTATTGAACAAAATATTGTTTTTGGAACACTAGTTTTTTTTTAAATGTTTGCTGAGTACCAAGATAAGATGAACTGGATGGATTGTACAACTGGTATAATTTTTTCTTCCTACTATCAATGATATAAGATTGGGGAAGTGTTGACACATCTATGTTACTACATTGATTATACTTAAAGATTTAAATATAATTTTGATTTAGAAATTCCTATACAACTAACTTGAACAAGACTCCTCAGATTGCTAAATCCATAGCTGAATCTCTAACCAAATCTGTAACCAAAAATGCAGCTGTTCCAGCTTCACAGCAAGATGTTGTTAATTTATTTTCCAAACGAGGACTCACTATTAGCACGGTAACTTAAAAATTATTATTTTTTAATTAAAAAAAAGTAGTGAATTTAAAGGAAAAATTGATTGGTGCATAGCTTTAATTTTTAATAAGAGTCCCCTTGTATTTATTATTGGTGTACCAGTGCCCTGGTTATTTCTATGCATATAATATCTATAATGGTCTCAAATACTCATATTATTTGGGAATGTTGATAAAGATAAATTGTCTGTCTTTATTTTTAGTGTAATATGTATTAGTTGTATTAAAATTAAATATTGTGAGTAATACGTATTTTATATATTTATTTAAGTATACAGTATTATTAATTGATTAGATTGTATTATGGGTAAAAATCCTTCTTTTTATGGGAGCTCGTATAAACCTGACAAGTAAAAATTTGGACAGTACAATGCAGGACTGTTTAAATCTGGAATTTAATAATTAAAAATCCATTAAATTCTAGACAGTGCAAATCTGGAAATCATAAAATCCATACAAATCTGGACAATGGGTAGTGATGCATAACAAGTCGAGAGATATTATATTAGAGATTGGACCTGTTTTTATATTAATAGTAGTAAAATTCATACATAGTAAATTAATGTTAAGATTAAAAAAAAAAAAATAGCAAGTATGTTGAATAAATGGAGTCAAAATCTTTGTATTTCTAACCTAAAAATTATGATGATTTATTTATTGGTTTTTCAAAAGTTAGATTTTTTCTATGATAGGGTTTTAAAAAAACAGTTTTTACTCATTTCTTTTGTTTTAATCATATTTTCAATTAATAGGTACTAAAATGTCAATAAAAAAACTAGATAGTATGATTTACTTAATAATATATATCCTATATAATCTAATACAATTCATTTTAATTTATTTATTAAGGGTTATGTTGTAAAATGTATTAAACTGAAATATTTTATGTAGCAAGTCTAATTGGGTATGTAATTAATATTTCTATTATTTATTGGTATAGCGTGCGTTTTCAACATTTTAATTTTTTTTCTAATATACATATAGGTAATTACTACTTGGTTAATTTTCATTAACCGTTTAAATTATTAGTAGAATAAAAATAAATCTGAGCTATCATTTAGGTGCTATTAACTTCAAAAATTAATATAATTAGTTGTTATTACTGTAAAAAAAATAGAAGTGAAATAATAGGTATGTTATTTTTTCTATATTTTAATAGTTTAAACATAATGTAATAGAACATGTTTTAGACATTCAATGTTTAATTTTAAATATTCTTAATTCAACTAAGTAAAATAATATTTCTTTGTATTTTGGTTTAAAAAAAATTCCATTTTACATAGTACAAACATTCTCTGACCTATATGTATTACATTTATTATACACTAAGTATAGGAAAAATTAGACATTTTCACTTGGCCATACCCAGTGTTCGTAATTTTGTTCAATGATATACTCTCAGCACATGCTCATAGAAGGGGAGGGGTCGTTGGAGTTTAGCCTAGAGTGACCATTTTTATAAAAAGAAAATAATTGGACTAACAGTTTTGTAGATAGGCTCCTAAAAAGAAACCTCAAATAATTTTTCAATACTTTTTATATTTTATATTAACAATTTAAATAGTTTTGAATTAGTTTAATATCTTAATAAAACACATCTTGTTTGCATTCTTTTTTTTTGTGAGTTAGAAAAATTGGTTAAAGTATTTTTACTTTTTTTGAGTTGATATTGATTACTCAGGTGTTTTAGACTCCTTAGACTCTTACCAAGTTTTTTCAACTTCATAAGTGCTCATTGGTTTATAGTCAAACCTTTCAAAAGTTCCTCAACCATATTCAGGCTATAACATTGATAGTATTCATAACCATAATTAAAATTGTAAAATTATTGATAATATTGATATAATGTTTGATTATCATTAAACAAATAGTAATTTTTCAAGAAACAAGATAAAGATAAAAATGTTATTTTTGAAAGTAATTAATATTTTATTTTACTTTTATCTTTGATTAATTTTAGAGGGTATACGTTATATCAGTAAATTGGTGCTAGGGTAGTATAGGCTGTATACTAGTGTATAGCCTGCAATATACCATTGGTCAGATCAAAATATAATATCAAAATTGTCCTTTACCCCCCAAAAAATGTCTAATTTGATTCCAAGAGTAATTTTAAGCCCATATAAATTACTCCATCAATATAAATTTGCACCAATTTACTATGCAGACATTTTTTTTTTTTTAAATTAACATCTATTTTACTTTATTTTTTGTTTCTCATCCGTATTTAATCTAAGGCCAACTATAGATCAGTCTGGCCTAACTTGCCTGACCTATAGTTTTGCTTTAATATGCTATTGAATAATGAATTTACTTATTTATATTAAATTGTACTTGATATTTGTTTTTATTTAATTTAATTCAGAGGTTAAACAATAATTCTTGTATGAGGACATTGGCACATTGCTTAACTTATGGAAGTTATGCCATAATTATAGTTCAATTATTTACTGTTATAATGGTTATCTATTGTATCTATACTAGGAGAATCATTGTAATTTAAGTGAATTTTGTGCTTGTCTCCTCGTTGATAATGATTGTTGTACAGTTAGTTGTCGCTAAAAATAGTTGGGCTTATGTAGTTTTAAATCTATTTTGCATTGTCGGAGTAAAACCAAGCATACCATTTATTTATAGTATTTTTATTTTATATGATAGATATAGTGTACTTGTTTCTATGAATTTTTATAAGATACAATTATTGAGTTCTAATAGAATTTCAGCAGGTCAAAGAATTTTTCTCCTAACTCAGTACTACTGACTTAGGTTTTAACTTTATACAAATTGGTCTTCAATGTAATTATACTAATATACTTTTTTAAATGTTTAGGTGGATAATGGACACAACTCAATTCTTCCCGCTGGACTTAGCTTAAACTCGGCTGTTTCTATTATACCTACATCACCTCTCAAGGTACCTAGTAATGTACCTAATAAGGTATCTAGTAGTGTATCTAATATGGCATCTAAATATGTACCACCTAGGGTACCAATTCAGGTAATTTATACAGTTCTTAATAATATATTCCAAATATTATTTAAAAATAAATTTTCATTCGTAAAAATCGGAATCAGTGTAAACAAGCAGACAAGGTAATTTTTTCAAGTGTTTTGTCATTATAATACAATTCATTTTGATTAAAATATTTATTAAATTACATTGAGTATTTAAAAAAAGACCAATGTCATACATAAATATAATACCTAACACTTGCACTTATGTTATGTAATGTTGTACATACTCAATACATTTTTTTTGTAATTTATAATGAGTAAGTTGGATAACATGGACTTATGTCATCGTAGATATATTATATTCATATTAAATGTTTAAAGTTTAATATTTTAGATAGTTAAAATTGTTCTTAGACCGAATTAATCTTTGAATGTAAATTATCTATTACATTAATATATGACTGATAAAAATCTAATAATTTAGAGTTTTATTAACAGCAGTACAAATAAAGTGTGTTCAGCAAATATTTTATGATTTTCTTGAATTAATTTTCTTGCATGAAAAAACTGCCATAAAATAATATAAATTTGTATTTACATACAATTATTCTATTTTAGAGTATGGACACTGTTGATTTAACTGGTCCTGATAAACCGAAAAAGTATTATCCTTGTGAAATATGTTCAAAAACATATACGAGTTCTGAAAAAATGTATGAACATTTATCTATTGCACATAAGTCAGTTTCAATTCCGTTTAGGTAAGTTATTGTTCTACCCTCATATGTGCTTATACTATGGTTTTGAGTGGAAACAATTTTTTAAAAATAAAGATTAATTTTTCTTTTTTCAAAGACATAATGTTTTGATTTCTGAACAGGTGTAACTTGTGTAAATTTATTGGTCAAAATCCTGAGGCGTTGTATCGGCATAAATCAACAGTTCACAGATCAGAAATCAATAACTCATCATTAGTGATCCCTATTGTAGACTTGAGTAGACCCGCTACTGCTACCAAGTTAAGGAATTTGGGTATCACCCAGTACATACCAGTTTCTCAACTGGATAATCAAGGTGGTCAATTTGGTGTGCCAATCGCGAGTTTTGGAAAGAAGGGCAATTTACTAGAGGGAATGAATGCTAACCACTTTTTCACTATGGGGCCAATACGTAACATACAATGAATATCAGACAAAGACTGTTTTGAAATATCATCCATTTTGGTTGTAACTTTTGCATTTTACTCAATAATTTCAGTTTTATGCATTTTATTACAAATTTATTATGTATCAACATATTCTACTTTCATTTGATACAGTTTAAACATTCATTTTGATTATGTTTTTATTTTTAGACAAAATAGTTCTCAATTTCACAAGTAGTGGTTTTTTTTTATAATTAAATTTGTTACTCATTTTAATATGTTCTCGTTTATTATTACTATTATTATTATTTTTTATGTTTTAATAAACTAAACCAAATTACAAAATCTGGTTTTGGCAAACTATATTGTATAGATTAAAGGACTACTTCTATATTATAACTATGAACAATATTTGTATATTTTTATTATTTAAGTGAGAAATTGATTTTTAAAGGTCAAAACTCCAATGTTTATTTTTCATTATAACTATTTTTAATAAAATGTTAACTATTGGCATTTTTTATTTCCTGTAAACAAAATTATAATTTTAAATTAATATATGATATATGACATATTCTTATTTTATGTCCCAGTGTCACTTTTATTATTCTATTTTTATTACATGTAGTCATGTCAGTAAGAGAAGGTAGATAGCAATAATTAATGATGTTCATTATAACCTATGACATTTACCAATATGTATTTACTTCATCTTTAACTTTATTTTTCAGTTAAACAAAATATATATTCATTGCTAATGGTTATACTATCAGACATCAGTGCAATTTAAGCATTATGTGTAAATATTTTTACTGACATGATAAATAATAGAAAAAAATGCTTTGGTTTTAAACTTTGGGGGATGGGGGAGGTTTGTAGTCGAAAATTAAATCAAGTTGATACTTTTGAGAGGTAGAGATTAAAAATGTCTAACACTTTCCTCAAAATTTGGGAAAAACCATGAAACAATTGTAATGGTGTGGAACACCATTACAGTTTTACAATGCAATTAAAATTTGAATATAACAGTACAATCGTTTATTATTATATATTTTGTAGAAAGTATAAATGAATCTAGATCAGCCATAGCGGCGCCCGCAGAGAGGGGCCAGTGGGTGCTAATGCACCCACTGGATTTTGTTATAAACCAAAAAATCAGTGTATAATAATGTAAACATGTGACTTCCTATGTATGTGTCACATAAATTTAATTTTGCCCCCACTGAGCTGATTTTCTAAGGGCGCCCCTGAATTCAGCCAGACTAATCAGAGTAAAAGTTGTGTTGCATTTACTGAACACACACGACACACTAACTACAAATTGTAGTAAATAGTAATAAGTAATAACTAATAGTAGGTACTAACTACTATGTAGTATACCTAATGTAAGGGTGAATATTTATAATAAATTGTCATTGTCCATTATATGGCTATATCATAGGCGGTGATCGGGGGGGGGGGGCTTACAGTGGCTTAGCCCCCCAAAATAAATAATTTGAAGTTAAAGCCCCCCTAAAATTATTAAGCAAACAATACCGTAATTTTGAACAGTTTGTAGAATTTTTTTCATTATTTTATATTCTTATATCCATAATTATATAAGTGTACCTAGTACATTACATACATATTACATACTATTTACCAATTTATTATTTACGGTAACATACCGAACAATTAAGACACAATTCACAATAATATTATATTGTGTTTATATACCTAATATTGTACATATTTTGTACCAATTGGCCATCGATATTTAATAACATAGTATACCGTTCTATTTATAGATGGGAAAAATATTATTTCTTTTCTAATTTTTGTTAATTCTCGAGAAGCGATAATTATTATAGGACTATCGCTATAGCTGTATTAAACCTATCGTAAAGTTTATCGTGATTGAATAATTACTTTTATATTTTGTGTTAAGGTACGGTTTCCCTGCAACGTCAGACGCGAGAACAGCATGGCTGCGTCGGACGCGGCGTCTAGACGCGACCTACGTCCAGACCGGTAGTGACGCTTGACGCCGCGTCCAGACGCTGGAGGGAAAACGTACCTTTACAGTATTAGTGGCTAATGAATAATGATTAGCCATTAGAGATAGGTATGGCAGAAACAATCTGGTGAAGCAGGTACTCAATTAAAGATAAATAAAAAAAAAGAAAGATAAATGGTTTCTAATAGCTCAATATCAAAAATAGAAGTAACAAGTATAGTTTTAGTTACTTTTTTTTATGACACCGGCAATTGATGTATGCTTTAAAATGTTTGATGTTTTCAATTTGAAATATCCACTACAATCATCGATTGAGTATGAATTGTGCGTACATAGTTCTACATTAAATAATATTTGCAAGTAATCTAATAAAGCCATAATATTTATTATATTTGGCCAGATTTTATCTAATTTGAACAACGACACTATGTCTTAATAACATAACATAATAATTTATTTAAGAAAATAATAAATACAATAATACAAAATAGTATAAATACACAAATAACATAAATTTACTTAAATTAAATGTTTGCATAATAAATAATAAATATTTCCAATGTTTAACATTGATCATATAAAAAGTAATTAGAATAAGATTTAATAAACATCCAAAGCATTTTTACAATATATTCTCATTTCTTTATGAATTAATAACATTAAAATGAAATATTTTTTTTTCATATGATTTAAATATGTTAATAAACAAAAGGAGTAATTATTTTAAACATTGTACAATATAGTTTTCATAGTTTTTTAAAAATATTATATAGATAATTATGAAAAGGTTAGATCAAATGAAATATTTTTTTTTCATATAGTATAATATGTTAATAAACAAAAAAAGTAATTATTTTAAACATTGTGCAATATAGTTTTTATAGTTTTTTAAAAATATTATATAGATAATCATGGAAAGGTTAGATCAAATGTTGAAAAAAATGTAGTAATTAACAAATTATAAAAAATTAACAGTAGGTATTATGAACAATAAAATACTAATCTAGCAGTAATGATTATGCTTATTATATTTTTCACAACAAGGTTGTGTAAATTCAATGCTAAGGTGATCTTGTCATTTCTATATCAACAAGAATTTCGTCAATATAATATGGAATTTTATCCAACTGAATTTTTCAGGTGCCAGTTACACTGCTGCATAACAGGTATTTAGATAGCCACCATGGAGTGCTGGCGGAAAACATGTAGTCGCGTATGACTTACTCACTCACGGACTCGCGACGCACGGGGAACATATTTCCATTTAGTCGGTACTTGTAATTGTTTACGGTTACGGCCACAGCCAGCGCAGCAAAATAGTATCCTTCCGACACTCAGGACTCGCCTACCTAGTGCGGACAGGAATGACCTACGTATAGGTGCAGGCTGTTTTTCCGTTGCTTCTATCTCATCCTCATCGATACTTATCACGTTTATCTCCTCCTCTTCCTCCAATGACACAATATTTTCCTCATCATCAAATGGCAAGATTTCCTCTTCAGCAATTGAAAAGATTTTATCATCTTCCACATCGGACATAATTGGCTCCGAGAGCGATGTACCTGACGGCCACTTTTGCTTTAACTCTGAAGGGCACAATTTATCTTCATTCACTGACCCCGCTAAATCCGAGTACGAGGCCGACCTTAGGTCCGAGTCTGACAGCCACATCTGGCTTAAATCTGATGGGCCTAATTGCCTTTTGCTGCTTTTTGCTGACATCAGCTCCGAGTGCAATTCCGTCTTTGGCGCCGATTCTGTTGGCAATGTGTGCTCTACAGTTAGGGGCTGCAGTTGTTTATCGTCCGATTCGCACTTAAGCTCCGAATGCGAGGTTGAAGAAAGTTCTGACATCGATGGCATTGTCTGATTTTCTATGTTTGGCGGCACCAATTTTTCATCGATCGTGGCACACTTAAGCTCCGAATGCGATGCTGACCAACGTCCCAAATTCGAAGTCTGCTCTAAGTTAGATGGCAGAGATTGTTCATCGTCGGTTGGCCACTTTACCCCCGAGTTCAATGATGAGTCCGATGGCCACACTTTCTCAACGTGTATTGATGATAAGTCCGAAGGGGGTGTTTCAGGTCTCAGACTCTGGTCCGATTCTGTATTAGCTCCCCAGTCCGAAGGGAGTATTTCAGGTCTCAGACTTTGGTCCGATTCTGAAATAGATTCCCAGTCCCGTGGCACCTCCCTGTCCGATGGCCACTGCTCCTCCAAATCCAATGACCACAGAAACTCAGACTGCGTTTCCGAACTAAATGGCGCGTTCATTCGCTCATCGAACTCTGACCAGAGGCGCGATGTTAAATTTGGATCAGTATTCTCGTCAGTTTTCCGTTTGTCTAGGCAATCTTTTTTCACGTTGAAATAATTGAGCGTGCTTACTGCAACTATTTCTGCAGTTGTCTTTTCTGGTAAACGCACATCCGAAGATCTGTGCCGACATTCGTCTTCGTCCGAAGAATCGTCGTCGTCCGAGTCACATGACGCAGATGAGCTGTTGCGAATCGGCACCAACTGCCACCAAGTACTTGCTCCGTATCAAGGCCAAGCGTATATCTTCGAACAGCTCGTCCAGCGTCCCTGTAATTTCAGCTACCAATGGTCCATTCTTTGTAAAATCCGTTATCGTTGTATCTCCTTCATTCAATCCAGTTTCCGTATTCATTTGCGCATTAACCGAGGTGGTGCTACAGTTTGATATAATCGACCTTTGGGACGCGCACCACATGCTCCCAACTGCCGTGTCTAGGTCATCCGAATACCCAGAACTTGTTATGTTTGTTTTGTGTTTTGTGTTCATTTTTTTTGGAATGCGTTTATACCTACCGCGAGGTTTTAAGAGATTTACTAATGGCTGGAAGGCTCTCTCCGACCTTACCAGCCCCAACTAGTAAAAGTAAGAGCTGGCTCAGGACCTCTTAGTGAGACTCAGATATCGAATATCTGAGTCCGCAAGCTCCCCCACCACGACAAGGTGGGTCCCATAGGGGGAGATACCAATAGGTAGGTAGAAACGGGCGATACCCGTTTGCGTACATTTAACCTTTTTTGCGACTCGTTTGCGTACAAATGTACAACTCGATTGCGCACACGAATTTTTAATACCTGTGATAAATGACCCAAAACGTAGGACTCGTTTGCGTACATAAACTATAGCAAAACAGGCGTGATTAAAAATGTTTTATTTTTTTTATTCAATTTAATTTAAATTAAATTTGTCATTTTTATTTGTTGTATTTGTATTTTATTAATCTTAATGTAATTGCATGCTATAATATTTGGAACCGACTTGTTTTAAATATTCCAATCGATTTATGGATTTGTTACATAATTGTCTAAAACATTTATCTAAACAATTTATTTTTTCTATGGTGTCTTTTCGTTGAACATTAATAATGTTTTTCTTTATTGAATTTAATTTTAATTCTG